AACCTTTGGGTGTCTTGGAGCTTCTAGATCCAGCATCAAGTTCATCTTAGGGAACTTCTGGAGGTATAAAGTCATCACCTTGTCATCTCTTTTGTTAGTTTAAGCTAATGTATTGCCATGGAGTCCCTTTTTGGTTCTTGGACTTTCTCTTATGAGTTGAGCAACTCTAGAGAATAAGATGGATAGATCTGAGCTTTTTGAGCCTACTAGATGCATAAAGGTGCCATCTTAAGGGTTTTCTAGTTTCCATGCATGAGCTTGAAGTCTTATATGAAGTCTTAATGTGAAGAATAAAGTTTTGGAGTCCCTTGTAGCATGCAAGGGCATAAAGTTGCCAACTTTATGCCTTAGGACATCTTAATGAGTTCAGATCTGAGATTGGACGTTGAAATGTCATGTATTAAGCACTTAATGGTCGTGGTGCTTAATCTGCTTATACGTCGTGCGTAGTGTGGTGTACGCAGCGCGTACTGCTTAAGGGACTAGTACGATGAGCGTACTTAAGTGGTACGCAGGGCGTACGCACCTAGTTGGGTTTGGGCTTTGTTTAGGCTCGTAAGTTTATTAGGCCTTATTTAGTTTTGGGTCTGGTCCTATTTAGATTTTTAGGCTGATATTATGTTTTGGACCATAGTTGTTTTGGTTGGGCCTTATTGGGCCATGCAGCCCATTAATGATTTTTATCTTGGATCTTGGGCCCATTAGCAAAGGGAAGACTTTTAGGTCACTAGGGAAGGAATTAGGCTTAGATGATTGGACTCTTTAATTAAGTTGTGTATAATCCTAACTTAGGGTTAATTGTATCATTGTTCAGCGTGTGGGTTCAGACTATTAGGCGAGCAGCTTTCGTGTTCAGTAGATTGAAGTGAGTCTTCTCACCACACTCATGGGTCGAAGGCACCAAGGACAGCCCATTAATTGATATGAGATGATTAGTAATGGAGTATGTAAATGTTGCTATTTGATCTATATGTGGATATTATGTGAAGACCATGGGAGGAGCCTATGGTACATGATAAGACCATGAGAGGAGCCCATGGCGCGGGGATACAAGACCATGGGGGTAGCCCATGACATTCCAAATGAAGACCATAGAGGGAGTCTGTGGCAACTTATATGTGTATATGTGTGCATGGTATTATGTGATTATATGATTCGTGTGTTTTGGGAAACTCATTAAGCTTGTGCTTACAGTTTTATTGAATGTTTTAGGTACTTCTATTGATAAGGGCAAGGGCCCGACTTGATGGTGCGGTGTGCATTCTCCGATGTTTTCATATTTAGTTTTCGTACTCTGAACCTTAGAATAATATGGCTATGTAATGAGATTTTTGGACACCTTGTGGTTGATATTTATGAAATTAAAAGTTAAAAATTTTCTGTAAATTTTGGGCTGTTACATTTTAACCCTATAAATTGGGATTCTCTTAATATTAAATCAAGAGATATTCTAATCGAAAAAAGGCCAATAAGATAAATGAATCTTGTGTTTCCCAAAGATAAATTTTCTAGACATTTTTCTTATGCATTTTATACTAGAAAGTTAAATAATGGTTTGTCACATGATCGAAAATGGTTAGTATACTATAAAAATTTAGATAAAGTTTTTTGTTTGTAAAATATTTAAATCTACTAATCAAAAACGTTTTTTTAACAAATTAAGGATATAATGATTGGAAACATTTTAGTGAGAGACTTAAAGAACATGAAAATAGTAATGAACATTTTGTTTGTATGAGTAATTGGAATGAAGCAAAACTAAGATTAGATAAAAACCTTACAATTGATAACGAATTACAACAAGAAATAATAAAAAGAAAAAGAACGTTGGAGACAAGTATTAAGAAGGATAATAGTGGCTGTGAAATTCTTATCTAGATATAATTTGGCTTTTCGAGGGTCTAATGAAAAACTTTTTCAAGATAACAATGGTAACTTTTTAGGAGTAATCCAAATGATGGGTGAATATGATGGTATAATGCAAGATCATATAAGGAGAATTGAAAAGAATGAAACCCATGATCATAGTGGCTGTGAAAAAGAACGTTGGAGACAAGTATTAAGAAGGATAATAGTGGCTGTGAAATTCTTATCTAGATATAATTTGGCTTTTCGAGGGTCTAATGAAAAACTTTTTCAAGATAACAATGGTAACTTTTTAGGAGTAATCCAAATGATGGGTGAATATGATGGTATAATGCAAGATCATATAAGGAGAATTGAAAAGAATGAAACTCATGATCATTATCTTGGCTATAAAATTCAAAATGAACTAATTTATCTTTTAGATGACACGGTTAGAAATTCTATCATTAAAATAGTTAAAGAGACAAAATATTTTTCTATAATTCTCCGATGTGAGTCATCAAGAGCAAATGACTTTGATTGTAGGATGTGTGAATTTTTCTTCTAAAAAATACAAGTTGTTGAATATTTTTTAGAATTTTTAAAAGTAGATGATACTTCTGGTTTAGGAATTTTTAATGAATTATTAGATGCATTGAAATTGTTAGATCTTAATGTGGATGATATAAGGGGTCAAGGTTATGATAATGGGTCTAATATGAAAGGAAAACACTAAGGGGTTCAAAAAAGAATACTTGAAATTAATCCTAGAGCTTTATATATGTCTTGTGTTTGCCATAGTCTTAACCTTACAGTTAGTAATATGGCACTTTCTGGTGAAAAAGTTGTTTCAATTTTCGGAATTGTGCAACGCCTTTATACATTATTTTCTAGTTCTACTAAAAGATGGAAAATATTGTTAGATAATGTTCCAACTTTAACCTTAAAATCATTATCTAATACTCGTTGGGAAAGTAGGATAAAAAGTATAAAAGCAATTAGATTCCAAGCTCCTCAAATAAAAGTTGCTTTGCTAAAACTAAGTAAAACATATGATGACCTAAAGTCAAAAAAGTGAAGCTAAAAGCTTACTTAAATCTTTTGGAAAATTTGAATTTTTAGTTGGTATAGTTATTTGGTATGAAGTTTTAGTTGCTATTAATATTGTAAGTAAAAAGTTGCAATCTAAATCTATTTGTATTGATACTATTATTAATCAAATAGAAAATAATATGAAGTTTTTGAAAAATATAGAAATGAAGGTTTTACATCAAGTATGAATATTGCTAAAAGTATTGCACTTGATATTGGGTGTAGAGCCTATATTTCCATCAAAACGTCGTATTGTTAGAAAAAAAAACAATTTGATGAAATTGATCATAAAGAAGAAACACAATCGGTTGAAGAGTATTTAAAAGTTCATTATTTTTTGGTTGTTGTGGATATGACAATTATTTCATTAAAAAATAGAACTTAAAGAACTTTGAAAAACTTTGAAAGTATTTTTGGGTTTTTAAATGATTCAAATAAATTAAAGTCATTAAGTGAAAGTGAACTTAAAGAAAGTTGTATAAAGTTTGCTACTACTTTTTCTAAAGATAATGTTTCTGATGTGGATTCAAGTGAACTTTTTTTAGAAAGTTGTATAAATTTTGCTACTACTTTACCTAATGATATAATTTATGTTGTTGAAATTGTAGACTTTTTTAAAGTTGTTGATTGTTACCCAAATACTTTTATTGCATATAGCATTTTGTTAATCATTCATGTCAACTGTTGCATCTTCAGAGAGAAGTTTTTCAAAGTTAAAGTTATTGGAGAATTATCTAAGATCGTCGATGTAGCAAGAAAGGTTGAACGGATTGGCAATGTTATGTATAGAGAAAAACATGTTAGATAAAATTGATTTGGATAGTATTATTAATGATTTTGTATTTAGAAAGGCTAGGAGAAATATTTTTTGTTTAAATTAGTTGTTTTTGTAATGTTGTAACCATATTTTTGTTTTGTAATATTAACAGTGAATTCTGTGAATTTTATAACATTTTATTTCGAACTAATTTTTATTATATTTATGACTTTGGGGGGGGGGGGGGGGGGGGGCCTATTTTTTTTATTTTCGCCCCTGGGTCCATCATAGCTTTGGACCGGCCCTGTCATTTGGCACCTGTCAAATATTCTACAATCCATTTAATACTTTATCCGACTAACCTCGTGCTCATGTCCATTTAATCAACAATCATGAATGCTAGCAAGACTAATAAAAAGAACCATAGAACTAGAACCAATGTTTTAAAAACCGGTTTGAACCGGCCGGTCGAACCGGTTTGACCGGGAACCGGGAGAGGGAGCGGTTCGACTATCACCGGTTTTATATTGATTTCTGAACTGGATTGAACCGGCCGGTTTTTAGAAAAATCCGGTTGAACCGGTCAAAATAAACCGGTTAAACCTAATAAAACCACATGAAAAAGAACCATTTACATAATAAACTTTGGTGATTTTTTTCAAATCTATTTAGTTTTCTCTAAATAAAAACATATGATAAACTTTATAAATTTTTTTGATATGTTTGTATTCATCTAAAACTATATTTTGTTTCGGTATTATACTTTATTTTCATTTTGACGTATATGGATTGATGTAAAACACTAAAACTTATGGTTATGTGGTATTTTAATGTATTTGGATTCATCTACAACTTATTTTTATGTGTATTTTTAATGTTTGAACTTGTAAACATCAAATTCATAATTTATATATGTATGTATGTGTAGGAAAATAGAAAAAAAAAACATGAAAAGTATAGAAACCGGTTCACCCGGCGGTCGAACCGGGAACCGGTCACCATACCGGTTCAACTAAAAAACCGGTTTTTAAAACATTGACTAGAACTAATTTTCTTCCCTAAATTTAAAGATTTTGGTCTTCACATGACCATGGTCTAATTAAAATAGAAGTCCTTCTCTGGCCTTTTGGTTTCTTTTTGTACTTTTCCTTATTCACGAAAGCAACAAAGTATAAGGCAACTACCACTTTCACATTTATAGAAATACTTACCTTTCTAACTTTCAAACCCTATAATCATTTGCCAAAAATATCCAATGTAGATCAATTGCAATCATATTGAGAGTTGGAAACAATTCAAAACTAACCTCAGTGGTACACCAACAGATAACCATAAAGCTAACAAGGGGATGTGTTTGAACCTGTCATCAGTCACCACCAAGCCCTTTTGCTTCAGTAAAATTGTATCACGATTGAAAAATAAAAATAAGCAGAAAAAGGAAGCCTTCTAACCTCAGGAAAGTTATACAGAATTCCCCACACTACATATAACCTTGAACTTACTTGAGGCAGTGTTGCTGAGATTGGAGATCTTACCAAACCTTTTTAATCCCAAAAAAGAACACAGGAAATTATAAGGTTCATTTTATGACAAAAACAATGTTGTAAGACACTATATCTTATTAATGAGATAAAACTCACCCATGCAACCATGGAGTATCTGTTTCACACGTAAATGACAAAGATCAGTCAAAGAACACATAGGAAGTTCAACATCATACACATACTATATCACTCAGTTATACCCTTTTTTTATCTTTCTTCATTCTCCATTTTGCTAATCTCAACTCCATTACTAGATTTAGTGTGGTCATGTCTTCTTTGGTAAATACATGTTTGCTTTTCTAAAATCTTTGAGTAATGAGAAATGAACTCATCGGTGCTAGACTAGAGTAAATTGAGTTGGTTTACACTAATGACACTTATTTAAAAAGAAGAGTTAAAGAGAACAATCTTAATTCTTAAAGAGAGTGACTGCACTAAACAACCCATGAACGCTTCATTAATGATGATTAATATAGAGTACCTCAAAACAGGCAGCAGATTGAGCTAATAACAGTGGCTTTTCGATGGCTCTGTAAACATGTTCGTGTCCTGATTCATATAGCGTCCTTAAAGCTAAGTACAATATTTTAAACCTGCAACATCACGGAACAAAGAGAGAGGGTGAGAGAAATGACACAGTCAAACAACGAAAGCAGCAAACACTGAGTGAAGGTGTAAAAATGAACTAGCCATCCAGCGCAGACAACCCAATTATAAATTGTCAAATACATTCGCCTCAGAATTGATACAGATCCAGCCATTGAAGACCTCATACAGTGCGAGAAAAATTGATGTCGCTATTGAGAGATTTTATAGGGGATGATGGCAATACATGTCAAATGGGTATTCAAACTTCAAGCGAAATCAAATGTTTACAAGATCTTTTAAGGTAAATGAACAGAAAATTGATTTGGGTGAACTGTACGTACTTTCTTACATAACGTATTTTCTGACATCAAGATTGATGGGGTCGTAGGTTAAGATGTCTTGTCGTTATTTCTTACACCCTAAAGTTATTGATTTAGAGATACTGGTACTTATTTTCGCAAACAATATCTTTTTTGTTTGTTAATTATCTTTGAGTAATTTACATTTTTGGTCTTGGGCGTGTTTGGCATGGAGCTTTTGGAAGCGTTTAGGGCTTCTAGCTTTTGATAAAATCCTCTACTTTAAACAAAAAGCTTCGTTTGGCAGTACGAGCGTTTAGCTTTTAGTTTTAACAAAACGCTCTGATTCTAAAAGCTACTTCATGTAGCGTTTAACAAAACGCTCCTGAGCTTTTGAAATCAATTTCCATAATTACCCTTAAAAATATATTTATATATTTATTTATTTTTAATCAATTGTCCTTTTATGTAATTTTATATATTTCAAAAGCTTCCAGCTATTTTTGCCAAACATTCATATAACAAGTAAAAGCTACAGCTTCCCGCTACCAGCTACTTGCTACACTCTACCAGCTACCTGCTACCAGTTTCAATCCAAGTTTTGAATTTTTGACAAGTGGCAATAGCTATTTCTTTTTTTTTTTTGAAAAAAAAAGCCACTACATGTAAAATGAACAATCAACATTTACTTTGTCTTTCTGTTGTTTTGTCAATTTATGAACTGCTGGGACTATTTCTATAAAAAAGGACTATTTCTATAAAAAGAAAAAAAACATTTATCTTATTTGAAAATTGACCATGTACATAATCTTTCCCCTCTCTCCCTGCCACATCTCCTCTACCACTAACCAGAGGTATAGCTATATAGGTGTAAGAGTGTCACATCTCCTCTACCACCAACCAGAGGTGTGGCTATATAGGTGTAAGAGTGGGCCTTGGCCCACCTCCATACAAATTTGAGGTGAATATATTATATATAAGTTTTATATTTCTTTTGAATAAAAAATGTTAAGACTGTGAATTGTAACATGACCCACTCTATTCTAAACTTAAATTCATAATGAATAAAATAGTTTACATGTTGAGACATGTTGATTAAAGAATTAAGGCAACAAATTTTAGAATAGATCAAATTGCATTTTGATCTCCACAATGAATTCCTCCTTCATTAGGTTTGTATATTAATATTTTTTTTATTATCTTAATTAATCAGTTACTTACAACTTAAACGAATGTTACATTTTGTTACCATTTTCAGTATTTTGCTAATTGTTCATATTTTGTAAATTATTTGGCCTACCCTAAAACAAAATCATGGCTTTGCCACTGCCGCCAACCATCTTGTTAATATATGACTTGAGCATTTGGAGCAATCTCTTGGACCATTTGAGTTCTTGGAGCAACTTAGAGCATTTGGAGCAACTTCGAGTCACATGTTGTGCCAAGTGAATAAAAGCTGCACTATTCTTGAGGATGTTGTGCCAAGTGGATGGAAGTTGCACCATCCATGAGGGTGTTGCGCCAAACTAGTTGATGTTGCGCAAAAGTGGAGATCGTGCGCCAACCTGGGAGAAGTTGTGCCACATTGAAGCATGTTGCGCCACATGGGAGTGAGTTGCCCCGAGAGTGTGGTTCCAACTTGATTGTGCTCATCTGGTTACTCTTCTGTAAATATCTGCAAGCCACTTACAAATATTAGATTAACATTTAAGTACCAAGTACTTAAGTTTTATATGAAAAGTATGAGTTCTATCTAGTAGATATCTAAAGTACTAGTCTCTTCCACACTTTATTTCCAGATAAGAGTAGCAGTTCCTCTTCCAGTGTCCAGTTTTTCTACAAAAGAGACAAGATCCATCTATGTGGGCCTTATTGGATTTATTGGGCTTAAAGGTGTTCAATCCATAAAACATGGGCCTCCTAGATCAACACAAGGTGACTCTTTTGGGCTTGAGTTATTCCTAGTTTGATGTTAGAAACATCTTTAGCATTACAATGATGCCTTTACTAGGTATCATGTTCAGGCTTATTGTTCAAAGCAAATAGTTTAGGACTTGGACCTTTAAGTATATACATTTTCATATCTCTCACGAGATTGTCTCTTAAGACATGAACCTATTCATTGAAGTTGTATATATTGAATGTTATTGTTTCATTAAGTCATTAAAGAAAATGACAAATCATGGTAATGAGAATGGAATATTTAACTGCAAAATTTTAACAAAATTCATTTAGTATTTTCAATATTTAAACTCATTAATAATTAATACCCTTTTAGTTTCCAAAAACATTAATTATCAAAATCTAGGATCCAAGTTGCAAAACAAATAAATGGTTAGATATCATTTATCTCATCCACATGAATTGAACCCAGTAGATATCGATTATCAGTTTTATCTTACTATATAATTCCTAGATTTATGGGATTTCTAATAACAAATTTAATTACACATGTTTGATCTCATCTATACCTTATAACTGTCTTGCTTAGGTATCCTTTATCACAAAAGATTTTCGATTAAATAATCCAATTTGAAAAACTTGTGTAATCGGCCTATAACTTGGTTATAGAAATCGCGAAGACACCCCGACCATCAAAAGATAACACTAAGCGGTTATGTATCATTTATCCCACTAATGCATACAAGAGATGTGCAAGTGTTCTTCAAAAAAGATTGCATAGATTGAAGGTTTGTAAAAGGGTCTTTTATATGTTCTATAATTCTAGTTCTAAAAACATATGATATCATGGTTATTATATGCATATAATAAACCATGGTATCAATTTTCAAAAGAAAATCACTTTTAAAGGTTCTATATAAAAAGCTAGTTTTTATATAAATTTACGCGATTCAATTTTAATAACCGGTATTAATTTTGAGTGCATTTAAACCTTTTATATCTTTAATAAAACTTCCTTTTATTACTTATATATATGGAGTTTGTATAAGTTATAAAAATCACCATTTTAAAACTTATATTTGAGTTTTTCAAAATTTGACGTTATTAACGTTTTTATAAAACCGGATTTGATTTTAAACCAATAACTTGTTACATCTTATATCCACATTATAAATTTCGAAAACCAAACTCCATGTGATGTTTATTTTGTCCAAAATTATTTTAGCATGTGAAAAACTAATTTATCAACCATACATAATAATTGCATAAAATAAACAACACAACATGCATAAAATTATATGTGCATAAACATAGTCAACTTATGACATTTTTTGTAAGCCAACACAAAAAAATACCAAATCCATTCCTAAAGGGACATTTTAAGGGACAAAAAATCTTCTTGTAATGTTGTTGTAGAAGCTCCCACTTGATAAAACACCAATTGCTTGCAAAAGATTGGAAAAGCTTCTTGAAAGCAATATTTCAGCAACCGTCGCTAAAAGTCCAACAACCCTTAAGAAACAACATTAGTGACACTTCTCAGAAACTGCCACTAACTTTCAACATATTTCTTAATCACGAAAATTGTTCTTTGGTCTTCAAAAAATTGCTCCAACTTCATTTCTTGTTACATTTTTGTACAAATAAATTATTTCTAACAACTAATCTATTACTTACAAAAATAAACCAAGAAAACTAATCTATTTAATTTATTACATACCATATGAATAACTAAATAGTTACAACCATTTTTATAAAACAACCAACACAACAAACGCAATGGTCCTTGGCTAGTTTATGCACATCATACATATCAACATATATATTAAACAACCTTTGTTTTTCTAAGACAACTTTAAATGATAAAAGATGCATGAAAACTTTTGTCACATAAAATAACAATTATAAAGTTGGCATACAAAATATATAAGAACTTGTTTTTATACAAAATCAAGTTATCAATATTCTCCAAAAACTAAGATTTCCAAAAATCGAAAAATCTAACCAAACTTATAAGGTGGCTCTGATACCAATTGTTGGGTTTTTATTCAAAAACTAGTTTTAAAACATAAAATTTAGGCAATGGAAGACTTGATAATTTGAACAACATAATACAAGTTTATAACCCACCAAGGATCTTCTTGCAAAGTTTGGAAAGAAAACAAGCACCAAAGAAGAAGATTGAGAAAATTACAACCTTTGTAGTTCTTTGGATCCTCTTGGGAGGCTTGGAAGTTGATGAAGAATGTAGAACTTTAGAGACACCAACAATGAATCAACTTGATGTAGAATGTTAGTTCTTTTGTATAAAACTCTTAAGAACATAAAGAGCATAAGCAAAAGTGTGATCTTCATGTCTTCAACTAAAACTAGAGAGAGACACACATACACACATAGTTACGATTTTTCATGGGTGGTGAAAAAGATATGAAATCTCACTATATATAGAAAATCTTTGGTACATAAGTTCTTAACATTTTTAAGAACCCATGCCCCTAAAGGCTATGTGTTCCCCATGCTTCAAGCCATGCCTTTCTTTTGAATAAATTAAGTAAAAATCCATCACTCCTTATTCTAATCATATTGTCCATGCTTGTCCTTTTAAAGGAGTGTTCTTTTCATTAAACAAATGAAAAGCCCATACTCTTTTTTGTCGAGTCATATTTCTAAAATATGAAGGCAAAAGAAGACAAAAGTCTTTTATATTTTATAAATCAAGTTTATAAAATATAAACTTTAACTTTTTGGTAAGGACAAAAGAATTTATCTAGTCCAAAATGTTGTGCATGACTTATTCATTCATACCATATGAATTATATATAATGTTACTTGCTAATTAAAATTGATATTTCCTAAAAATAAATAATTTCCAATTTAATTATAAGAGTTTATTAAATATTTATTAAAATCAATTTCTAATAAATAATCAATTGTATCAAGGTGTTGTTAGTGTGACCCATTAGTATCATATGTTAATTAGCAAT